AATTCCCTGACCGTCCTCTGATATGTTGTCCATCAAAATTTGGCGGGAGCTGCTCAGTTAGTACTGTGGGACTATATATACCTGTGCAACCAGTATTGAAATTCTGGTGTCCTGCCCATTTGTACCTGTACTTTTATATGTATGTTGTGTAAATTATCTGAAATATAAGGCAATCATTACTGTATTATTTGAAGCAAGTTTCATGCTTAGGTTTTTAAGTTGTTACTATATGTCTCAAATATATTCGGTGCCCAACATATAATCTGGCACAATTCGCATAATCAATAATATAGTATTAACTACAGCACAGTCCTTAGAAACGAGGACCTTTTTCTGATGAGTAATAAGAAAATATTTATATTTTATTTACCTGAATAGAAAATAATAAGATTTTATTTATATTATAAGGTATCCCTCCCGCTTTCTTAGCACGCCTTCGCGGTGTAGTGGTCAGCACGCTCGGCGCGCATTCGAGAGGTACGTGGTTCGAGTCCCGGCGAGGGCATTGCAAATTTTTCATCTCTCCTTCTTCCAAAAATACCTAATATCTCTACAATTGCGCCCGAACTAAAAAAGGTGTGGATTTTAATATTTCTGAGCACTTCTGTGTTTGCTTGTAGTCAGTTCCTGAATATTTTATACCTATCAATTTTTGACTTCATAAATTTGAAGATAAAATTAAATTTTATTTAAGCTGGGATATGAAATTAAACTGGAACTTAAAGCCGTTTTAAAAGAGATAAAAGATCCATTCAGTACCCATTCCATAAAATAAAAATAAAGTATTCTGAAATTCTGTTTGGAATAAGATTCATCAGTGAGTAAAAGTACTTCTGGTTTTCTTACTTGAGTAAGACTTGTCTATATTGAGCAAGGATATCTTGCTAATTTTGGATCTATTGCTTTTTTATATAGGCATATCGCTTTAATATCAGCGCACTAATTAATGGATAAAAATATATATTTATGTGGTTGATTTAATCATGGTGTAATAGTTCTAAAAAAAGTTATTCAACTTAGCTTTATATCTAACAATAATTAGCTGTTCACAGTTTTTTTGCCTTAAATGAAAACATTTTTATTAATAATGTATATTTAGTGGATAATTAGTTTTTAATTTAATATCGTATTATAAATAAATGTCAACATAACAACAATTGTATGTTAATATTTTCCAAATAAATTTATTTAACATAACAACACTTGTATGTCAATCCTTTTCAAATAAATTTATTTTCCTGCGTAAAGATCTCATAAAATCAAAATTATTGCAGAAAAACACCATTTCAAAGATGAGAAATTTAATCAAAAATTATTTTCTTTCTGCGATACCTCTTCGTTTACTTTCTGTAATTAGATCACATTTAAGAGTAAAATAAAGTTAGAGAAAAAGAAAAGCAGTTTGAAAAATAATTACAGTAGAACGGATTAATTGTTATTACTAAATCTCCCCTGAAACAAAATGGTCATAAGTATGATGAATGAAAATAATGAAAGTATACATGCAAAACAATTTAGACTATAGAAGATGGTAACACTAAATACATTTCCATAGGTTAGTGAAATAGGTTCATCACTCAATGAAACAGATAACGAACAAAACACTTGTTATATCACATTTGCCTGGGTGTGAAGAAAAAAATTATCGTTTCTACACATTTAAAAAACCATTAATCTTCAGCATGGTTGTCTTACGAAATTTGAGATTTCCTATCAAAAAAACAAAAACTAATAACCTATAATTCCTTGAAATCTGCTATTTTCTTGAAAGTGAATTCGGCCACATATAAACGCCTCATGGTAACAGTATCTTCTATCTCGGGGGGGGGGTAACTCTTGTTTTATGAATTGGTATGAAAATGATCTCTGTTCATCGAAAAAGTTGCTATCTCTTTGGTGATCGAATAAAAAAGGGAATCCTTTTTGGAGAAAACTTCTCACCCCACACATTCCCCCTTTCGAGAAGTGACAGGCCCGCTGATGCATGGGCAGTGTGTTTGACCCCACCAATGGTGGCCCCAAACTGGCAGGCAAGACGTGTGTGGCGCTCTCTCGCGAGAATTTGATAAATGGAGAGAGGGTCCTCGTTGGCCTGCAATAATATAAGGACTTTTTTCATTTATGTAAAGTTATTACTAATTTCTTTTTTTCCTTTAGAGATGAGGAAGTACTGTTAAAAAAAGTTGGAAGATAACGAAAATTTTGTTCGTGATAGTGGCTTTTTGCTCAACAAGTAAAAAGTGCTTGGAAAAATGGTGGATGTTTCGGAGTTTTTTGAAGCCTCTTTCTTTATGGGCACCTTTCGTCTTAAATCATTAATTTTACGAGTCACTCGCCGAACTTTTATTTTGCCTCCTCACTTTTCGTTGCGCACGTTGCTGTCAAATTTACAGCTTCATAAAAGAAAACTTTTTTTTATTTATCTGAGTGCCAGACATCCAAAACATTGCACATACGAACACATTCGCGCAACTTTGACATATAAATTGCAGAAGTCTTATTTGACTATAGCTGCTACTCTCTTAACCACTATACACCACTTACTTTGATTGTTCAGTTGTAAATTGATCTTACTTTCCGTTAATTACTCCCGATAATACTTTTTTTTTCCATAAGATTACAATTCCATCATAAAAGGTCACGCAACTAGAACGAGATGCTTTACTTCATTTCCTAAACAGACACGGAAAAGTTTCAAATGAAATTAAATGAGTAGACTTAAATATACCTATATAACCATACATACATATACCATGTTATAATGAATGTTTAAATATCAATCATTATCCAAAAATAGGAGGAGTACTTATTGGGCGTATGAGCCTATTGTTGTTTCAAATGGCCGGATACTTGCGACTTAATGCAGTCGCCGTAAAAGAGCAATAGCCATCGGTCATTTAGCTAGCTAAGCTTTCTTCGAGCAACTTTTTTATATACTTCTAAATGTCAGACATCACGAACATTTCTAGCGTTACAGCATTCTAATTTGCCAAATTTTGAAGAATAATGAAGATCGGTCGTGATGTATTGTGTACAGTGTTGCTCCTTCTGCATTCCATCAGCAAATTTAAGATATAAATATATTCATTGAGAATGGCACTATTTACGACTTACTTGTGAATAGCACTACTCCTTGAGAACGGCACACGTATTTGTGTGAAAATGATATATATTGCCAATATTTGGAAAATTTACGATAATTCTCCATGCAGAGCTATGCTAAAATTAAACGGTCTGTGTAAATTGAAAATAACAAAACAGGGGACCCAAAGAAAAATTCTATCGAATAAATTGATATTTACAAATTTCATTTCATTTTATGAATTTTAGTTAATTTGCTAATTGTTATCAGTTCCGATGACACAATTTCTGACATAGCTTTGAATTCGAAGAAAGGATTAAAATATTTCCACTATTTCTCCCCTGAAGAAAGTAAAAATTTGAAATAGAAATTATTGAATTCATACGAATGGAAAATATGTGGCTAAGTGTCACTATCTCTCTAATTGTTTTATAATTTCATTCCTTAAATATGGTCAAATTTTAATTAAAAATAAATGGTCAAAACCCCTTGATATTATTATCGCTTTAAGTAATTAGTTAAATGAAAGTATGTTTTGATATACCAATTCGGAATAGTTGAATGATCCATATTGTTCTGTATTGTTCAGTCTGAAATGCGTAATTATTTTATAATAAATTTTATATAGATGTTAGAAATGCGTTAGGCACGTCTGGTCTACTCAGGCTATTCACAACATATAGGATAGCACTGTCGTGTTGAAAAATGTTCTTGGGGTACCTTGTAGGAATGACCTTACCTTGCTAATTGCATTGATCACCTACACTGCAGACAAATCTCCGACTACTACTGCTTCCAAGACAGAAGCGAGACTTGTCGCTGAAGAGGATAATCATCTATTCTAGTCTCCTTTGCTGCTTATATGAAGCCTATAATAGTCCTTGATAATGGTAATTTGAAGTAAATGGAATATTTGTCGCTCATCATCTGGCTTATAGTCCAATATTGTATAAACGCCTTCTTAAAATTTGATCAGATAGTTCTGGACCTCCTGAGATTAATATGTGACATCTAAGCCCATTTGCAGCAGAGTAAAAATCATTCCCCCCCCCCACACACACACACCACCACATTCTTCTAATACTACGATCCGTTCGAGCAAATGTTCTCCTCTGGCCATGTAAGTTCGTCGTCGTTCTTGGAATCACTTGTATGCCACAACTTTTAATAGTGCTGACATTTCTGTCTATACGCATTGTGATTGCAAGAATGTGGAAACAACATGTGTAAGTTCAAGAATTCTGTTGCCCTAATTTTGCGATAAGTGGTATATTGACAAACAAAAGGCATCACTATTTAACCGAAAGATTTGATCCGATTTCTGAAATCTTCGGGTAGAAAGAAATTATATTCAGTCAGCAGGCTTTCATGCCATTTAAACATCTCTTATATATCGCTGATGTTAAAATTTTAATCATTTGCCTGTCTTAATTACACTTACAGTTTCCCAAATTTGCATAAAGTCATGGTTCCCTCTTCTTGGTGTTGCAGTGTTGAGCAGTATAATTAGATTTTAAAATGCTAATTACTAAAGGAACTTCTTCAATAATTAATATAACAATAAGCTCATTCCAATGATCCCATTTTCACTTTGATTTTGAACTTTTCGCTTTTAATCATAAAAGTGAAGTTTGCTTTCTAGGCACTCTTAGAGTAAAACAACTTGCTGGAAATCAATAATTTTTGTAACATCTTAAAATGATTTAAAGAAAGTATCATTTCTTCATCAATAGACTTACGCACTAAATTATGCAAACTGATATATATATAGATATATACATATATGAAAGAATAAGAATCACTTAAGAATATATATTTTGAATGTCACTGGAGAGTGAGTTTTATCTCAGACTAACCATTTTCCCGATGTTCTTAACATTTCTGTTAAATACTATAGCTAATCTCATTTTCTTTTCAGAAACTAGTCCTGAGCGAGGGGTCTCCACTGCTGAGGGACCACAGTTCCGTACGCCATGCGATAGTGAAACGGATTCCATTGGTTTCGACCATTCCTTAAAGCCGACGAGTCCTCACTCACCTGCTCACGAATCCAGATCCCTCCAGCAGAGTCCCTCAGAAGAGGGAGCTGTCATGGGTCTTACGGTACGTATGCAAAGTTACATCAAAGTCCCACATTATTAATTTTATTACGATAAATCATTTTTCCCTATTTCATAAAAAAGAACGATGTTTTTGTTGTTCCTTAGCCTCGCGATCTGAGAGGATCTCGATTAGGTTCATAAATTCATCATGGCTAAGAAATCATAAACGCCTGTCGTTAGCCATAACACTTTATCAATGACAGTCCGACTTTTGTCTAGCTAAGCCAGAGTTTTGATGGAGAATCCTCCGGAAGTTGAATACGAGGGTCTTTTCTTACCATTAATTTCTCGATAGGACTTTCAGCGGGACAGTATTTCAAATGCCACAAAGACACTCTATTTACAAATATCCATGCCTTCGTCAAGATTCAAATCTACGGCATCCAGCTTCCTCTACCACAATTCCAGAAGAAGAAGCAGATTTAGTTGTTAATGGTAGCTCTTAGTTATTTACTGGGTATTTTGTTCCCTTTGATTTTAACTTGACAAAATTTAAAAAAAAAATTGTAAAATTCATAAAATAAATTTCCTAAAATATTTTCATGAAGCTTCTATTATTATACAGTATGTTCTAAATTACCAAAGTACACAATTATTTAAGACGATTTCAATAATCAGTAGCATCTTATTTTAATTCTTTTTAAAGAAAAGAAAACTTGTTTATTACCATTCAGTTAAAAATAAAGTCTCTAGGTTCTATGAAATCTATAAATTTTAATTTGATACTCGTTTTATTTGAGAAGTTTGAATACCTTTATACACCATTCCTGCAGAAAAATCACACTGTTCGTTCGGATTTATTTTTGATTTGTGTATAATTTTCAACAAGATTAATAAAACCTGTCATTTTAAATCGATTTTAAAATTATTTCTACTCAAAATAAATTATAACAAATACATAGCAATCAGAGTACCCCCCACACATAACTTCTTATATAATAGAAAAGCAAAAAAAAAAAAAAAAAAAAAAAATGATAAAAAAATACAGTGTGTTTATGTTTATTCTTACTCAAAGCGAAGTGACATAACAATTCTCACAAAATTTTACTTTGTATAGTCGGCTTGTGCATTATAAAATACATTTCTTAAATCGATGAATGACTCTTTAAAAAAATTAAAATAACAGATGTATTAGAGCAACCTTTTGGCATGATGCTATGAAAGCAGGCTGCCATAACCTTGTACCCGGTCTCAAATCCCAGGAAAAGCATGGATTTTTGTAAGTGTAAACATCTTTGTGGAATGGGGGCACTTCATATTCTATCCAGCTAGAAACCCTATGGTGGTGGATCCATTCCTCGAGGTATTCTTCTTCAAAATTGGGACAGAACTTCCTCTTTCTCACGTACGTAATTTGATCACCCCTATTGATGCAGCCAGACAACATTCTTCGTGATCAGATGGCTGAATGAACAAAGTATTAGATCGTTCATACGAATTCATTAATCTGAAAGTAGTGCATAACAAAGACAATAACATAATCGTACGATTATAACTAGTTTTAGGTAACTAAATATGAAACTCCTTACCATTTGTTTACTATACTAAAATTAACGACGTTTTATTGAGTCTACATGGACGCATAGGTAAAATATGTATTCATACAGCACATTAAAATACTCACCCGTACTTCTATGCTTCTTATTTATGAGCTACGTTATAAAATATACTAGAAATTAGTATTTCCAGGAAGAATTACTGAACGTTAAGTGATTAAGAAATGATGTTTAAACAGGTAAATCGGTTTTCAAAAAAGACGCTAATACTGCTGTAGAGACATTAGGTTATTTCGAAGCAGTAGAGATGAAAAATGAGCAATGCCCTCGCCGGAAATCGAACCACGGACCTCTCGAATTCGCGTCGAGTGTGCTGATCACTACACCACGAAGGCATTCTAAGAAGGCGGGAGAAATATTTATACTGCGAGCTATGGTATCTAGAAAACTTTTTATATAACTAGGCTAGATGATTAGTGAAAACACGAAGTTTTATTTCAGTTTCAGATGAATAACTTTTCTTATAGAAAAGTAATAAATAGCTCAAAGACAAACCAGACATAAGCGGTTATGCTTCTTTATACATGAAGAATATCGCAGATCAACAAAATCCCTCGCAGAACAGTATCTATAATAACATTTGAGCAGAATGTTCAGCATTTAAATCGCACTAAATATCTCGTTCACAGCTTCTTGTCCATAGCATTACTCAAGGGGCGGGAAGATACTTCTGCATTTTTCAGAAAACTCGTTTCTAGGGTTTCAGAAACGCTTTTCTGAAAATATCTAAATGTCCTCAAGTTCGAAAAAAATCTTTCAAATGTCGCCAGCTCTGTGATGTGGGGCGTCTATATCTTCAGTTCTATGTGACTTATCTTGACAATTCCAACAGGAATCGCCGCAGAGTCAACAGCTGTACAAACTAAAATATGAATTTAAACGTATACGAATAAATGAAAATTTTCACAGCAGTAACATGTCAACATAGTACTTCTGTACTAAAAATGTTTAAGGGTCAGTTCTCTGATTTAATTGATATACTACTGTTTTCTCAAAATCTTACCGAAAAGAAAAACATATAAGTAGCAATACATCAAGATTACTAGACGGCATTTCTTTATATATATATATATAAATATATATATATATATATATATATAAAGGAAAGTAATACAGGTTCTACGAGATGTACATGGGGCCACGAAGTCCGAGGGATAAGCTGCCTAACACGAGAGGCTCGGTCCGGGGCTCGAAACCAGGCGAACGGACTGGTTGCATGGAAATTTTCATTGTTTTCCCCACGTTTAACGTGGATACGAGCTAGTTTTCCTTTGAAAATCCTCTACAAAGGCATCACTTCCTTTAGGCATGTATCCCTTGTGTGATTTACCGTAATCAAATAAGCTAAATCAAACTGAGATGCACAAGAAAGAATTATTATATTACTTGTATTATCTAGAACTTGATTTTTCTGAAATCTCCAGTGTGTATCAATATATTTCTTCGAAGGAATGAATTTACAGATTCGTTATTTAGCCATTACATCAGCCATCTACAGATACTGAAGTATTTCTAAACTGAATCTGATTATTTCATTAGTATTAATAGACTTAAATTTCTTTTTTGTAAATGTATAAGTTATTTTCTTTCTCCTTTCCCCATGCCTTTGTGGTGTAACTAGAAGCACGCTCGATGCGTGTTCGAGAGGTCCAGAGATTGAATCCAGACGAGGGCATTTTTCACTTTCCTGTATCAATATAACCTAATGATTCTACAAGTGGCTCCTAACTAAAAAGGTAGTGGACGATAATTCGTCCCCACCAGGATTTGGTGACTGAGTCCCCTAATCCCCAGTTGCTCTTTAAAAAGGGAATTATATAAAGTATTTTCTCCCTCCCTTACGCATGCCTTCGTGGTGAAACTGGAAGCACGCACGACGCGATTTCGGGAAGTCCGGAGTTCGAATACCGGCGAGGGCACTGCGCATTTTTTACTTTTCTGCATCGTTATATCCTGATGACTCTACAAATGTACTTTACATTAAGTTATATATTTTTTATTTTATAGGTTTTCCGAGCGCATGATCCCGGATCTCCAGCAGTCACATCTTACAATAACGTAGCAGTTAGTTCCCCATCACAATGTGCTATGTTTCGTCCATGCCCATCTACTACTTCAGCCCTCGTAACAGTCATCCGCCAGCTTATGCAGCAACAGCCAGCAACTGTTCGACCATCTCCAGAAAGCAGCCCCTGTTCTACTAGCCGGAATTCCCCAGGATACGTAAGCAATCAACAGGACACTCATATTTGCAGTGAGTGCGGAAAGCGTTACAGCACATCCAGCAACTTGGCTCGACACAGACAAACGCATAGAAGTGTGACGGACAAAAAAGCCAGAAAGTGCCCGCACTGTGACAAAGTATATGTGTCAATGCCTGCTTACAGTATGCATGTAAGGACACATAGCCAAGGTTGTCAATGCCCGTATTGTGGCAAATGTTTCAGTAGACCTTGGTTATTGCAAGGGCACATCCGAACTCATACTGGAGAAAAACCTTTCACGTGCCCCGTGTGCCGCAAAGCTTTTGCTGACAAATCGAACTTGAGAGCTCATATACAGACACACTCCAGTAGTAAACCATACGTGTGCCAAAGATGTGGTAAAGCTTTTGCCCTCAAAAGTTATCTCTATAAGCATGAAGAATCTTCATGTATGCGAGTACATAGGCAACAACAACAAATTCAAAGCCACGAAAGAGAATCGACAACGGTTCTCGACTTGGCTTCTGCGAAAGATATTAGCAATAAAAAGAATACATCATCCATCCTGCTTGAGCATAACGGAGCCATACTTGTTGGCTAGACAATAAAATTCAGGTTGTGGACAATGAATTTCTAATTTTGCAATAACTCACGCTATAAAAATACATACTCTTAACAGCACTATAAACACCTTAATTTATTTTAATTAACTGTAAACTAAAATAAAAATCTAGCAACATGAAGTAGCTTACATTTTCCCCAACTGATAGAATTCTACACACATTTGTTTTATTTATTTTGCAGTAGGGGAGATAAAATTTAATATGAATAAACGTCTTGCATGATGAAGGAACCATTTTCCCGCTAAAATTATATTGTAACAAATTCACCAAATATTTTTAACTCTTTCTGTGAACATTTATAAGATTGTCTAATTATTGCTTTTAGAATGTAACTGAGAGTTTTGTGGAAAAAAAATATAAAAATGACTTGATAAATTTATAGTATTTGATCTTCTCAGGTTGCAAGATATTATAGATTTAAAATATCTCCTTCAGAGCTTAAAGGTGAAATGTGCAATATTTTTACCATTAAATGCCAAAGAGCAGAAGATTCACACTCTTTTGCAAATGTTGATTTTGAGTATAGTTTACATCATCATTACCAAAGATATTTCTACTCAGATATTCATTCAAATTTTGCCTTTTTTAGCGTATTTAAATGTACCTTTATCTTTATTTTATACGGCATGTTTTAGTCTGACAGTAATTTGTATTGGTAGTTACCATCTACAAACTACACATGGTTATTTTATCATTACTTTTATACGGCATGATTGTGTTTACATATTTTACTGTAAAGCTTAAGATATAGGTAAATAATAATAATGATTTCAAGAATTCTTTCACAGAAGAAGAAGCTGAGTGTTTTGAATGTATAAAAATGGAAAGAGTGAATTTTTCCGCAAAGATTATGTAGCATAAATAATCAATATGTTTCCCAGATAGTTTGTTAACATGTAAGGTGCATATCGTCGCCTAGATGATGAACCTTTTTAAATATTTTATTCTTGTATGAGTTTATGCAGATAAACGCAGTGTTAGTTACGAAACTTATTTGATCTCCGATTCGGAATAGGACCAAAGAATTTTATGCCTTGATAGTCTTTGATTTAACTCAAGGATACTGAGTATTTAAGAATGTTTTGTGGCAAAATTCGGTAAGCCATTTTGCTATTGTTTTATTTATTTTTTTATAAGTTGTCTTTACATGTTTCGTCATTTACGGTGACAAATAGATGCTTTTATTTATATGTGAGTTAGATGCTTTTATTTATGATTAACTTAATTTACTTGCATTGCATATTTATTATTTATTAAATGCGTAGTTTCTAATTCATTAGTGATTTAGTTTTGCTCTCATCTTTCTTTCGAATCTAGTCAGAGACAGGAAGGATTAACCCTTTAATTTTATGCCAGTGATGTCACAGATAGCAAATATGTAATGCTGTTCATAACAATACGCCGTTTCTCAGAGCATCACCCACTGGCTTTCGTATGAAAAGATTGAAAAAAATTGCTGAAAGAAATACCAAAGAAACTGTAATTATTAGAGTCAACTCTGTTACAGAGTTCAAGCTAATAATCAGTTTTCCCAACAGTAGAGTTTAAGTTCTTTAAGAGTTTCTCAACTAAATTCAAGGCGATTTACTTTAATATACTTATATTAAGCAAAGTGAAACACTTAGTTCCATCTATTTTGCAAATTTAATTTGTTGTTGTAATTTTATTTTCCTTTTATTGCCAACGTATTTTATATATAATTAATTGTATTTATTTAAAATTATATACATGCAAGATTATTTTTTAAGTATCCAGTTGACAGAGATTTTTGTAATCTCTGTTATTTTTTGAAAGTGCATTTTTTTAACAAAGCATTTTTATTACACATGTGCAAGTCTTGCATGTGGTTAAAAAAATATCTCTTAGTCAGCTTTATCTATTTTCCAATGTTTTTCTTACAGAATATATAGTTAGTTAAAAAAATATAATATATATTTATATATATTGGAAATAAAAATGTGTTTGTTGAATTTTTATGTGTTTGCAATGTGTGCAATTTTTAAAACTTTTGTACTCAAAGCGTTCTTTGTGGATAGTGATAATCCATATATTGCTTGTTTTTTATACTATTGTGTAACAATTTTACTGGCTTAATAAATTATTGATTTTGATTATCTAAGTTATTGAATTAAAACAGATTAAGCTCTTTATTCTAAACATTGAAACAACAAATTAATCTGTCATCTTTAAATTTTATTTTACGAAGATCAGTTCTGCGTATGATACAAAAGAACAAATGTTATGCATTTATAATATCAATATTTCATTCACTTAAGTATCATTCATTTTATTCTTCATTCAAATGAAAATTTAAAGTATTCTCGAATCCGGCTTTATCTGTAAAGCGGCTGGAAAAAAACGTTAAACTTTGCAATGGAGACTGATAAAAAAGAACACATACCTTTGAATACAGTTACATACGTAACAATGAACCAGGAATCTTGGTGCTCTTTCTTTTTTTTTCCTCCGTTATCTTTCTGAAAGTCAGCAAAGAAGATTAAGTCTTTTGTAAAGTTTTTTTAAAAGAATTTGAAATCGATTAAAATAGATAGTAGTTGGGAAAATTAAATCTTTGCGTCTTACTATTAACTCAAGGATGAGTGCAGTCCACTGCCTGATCAACCAATAGACAAATCAGACAAAAGTCTAGAGTTCGGTTTCACAAGAAGAAAATATAATAATAATAATTAATTAACTAATAAACTAAACATAACAATAATAAACTTAACAAAAAAATAAATAAAATATAACAAAAACTTAAAATTTTTAAATATATCTTCAAGATATATTAAAAATACTTAATTAATGTAATTTTTTAAATAATATAAATTAATAATTAAAAAGTAATAAAGTACTAAAAGTGATTAAGTTTTGCACACTGTAGCAGTGTGTTATGTATACATCGTAAATCTGCAGAATGTCATTTAATTTTTCAACCAGTTACTTTAAGTACCTTTCCTATCAAGCCTCATTTCATGTCCCTGCCAGAATGCAATAGGCAGGAAGAAGGAAATATTCAAAGAAAGGTTTTGGAGGGTGAAATCAAAGCGTATTCTGCCTGCTTGAAGGCTACGTTTCTAACTTTGATTCTCTAGTGAACAGAATTCTACTGAGTTATTCTTGCCATTAAGCTTGCTTACGCCGATTTCGTATCGTTGTTTACGTGGACTTCCAGTCAGAGCCAGCTAGCGCGATTCTTAATCTGTGAAGCCGTTAAGCTATATTTAATGTGTGTGTGATTGTGGCAAAGCCTCGAGGGCTATCTGCCTAAGGGGAGGGATGGCTTCGTGAAGGACTTTCTAAGGGAAACTGGCTCGTATACACGTTACACATGGAGAAAACCACGAAAACGCCCAAGCAGCCAGCCCGTTCGCGGGATTCGAACCTCGGACCGAACTACCAGTGTTCAGCGACTTTACCGCTCGGCCGCTGGTGGGCTAAGCTATATTTAAACTTGATCAATTTTAAATTTGTTCAGTACCTTTTGATTTAAGCCAAAACTGCTGGCTTCTGTATGTCCGAGTGAGTGCCGACTATCAAACTTTTTTTGAGTTAATAAAGGATTCTATACACCGGTCTCCTGAGTTTGTAGTCTCGTAAAAGATTTAGCGATAATTCACTAACAGTCTTCAACGTCGCGCACGTTTTATGCTAGCTAAGAATATACGACTTTACAAGATTAAATATACTTACCGTACATATATGTTCAATGTTGACTCCTCCTCCTTTTGTAACTATGGTTGTTATTTTGATAAGTGAGTTGATACAATTTACTTTAACGGGAAAAAGAAAAAAAAAATGAAAAGCGGGAACGATATAATCTTAGTTCATAAAAGAAAACAACTTTGCTTTTTCTTTTCCTAATACCGAAATACTCTTAAGAATTTAGTAAGACCGTAAATAATGCAACAGGAAATTGATCTTTCTCTATTTTGAACCAGTTTTAAATTATGTAAGAAATTCAACAGGGCAGAAAAGGCTAAAACTGATATGTCGTGCATTTAACACAGTTAAGGCGTTTGAGTACACTATCTTCTATTTAGCACAAATTTCTTAAAGAATCGTTAATTAGAAAACTATGAAATCTTTATTTAACAAGTTAGAGAGTTTGTTTAACACAGATAGAACACAAACAGACAAACAAAATGAACACAAACAATACAAATCAAAGTAAACAATCTTTAAAAACATTTAAATCGAAGTGTTGAAATATAGAACTTATAAGAGATTGATTTATATGTTTTAAATAAGTTCAGGCTTACCTATTATGTAATATTATCAGGAGCATATTCGATAAAAGAAGGTAACATGCTGAAAACAATGAAGCACAAATACAACGTTAGGATAAAATCTTTTTAGGACTTCTACATCTGAACCTAAGTAGATATGTCTATGTCTATGTCTTATCACTTAGAAGAGGCAATCGACCATTAACGGCTTTACCAATATATGATACTTGACTTTTAAATGCTTGAAGAATCGAGTAAGTTGTATCCAATAATATGGAAGTACTTGTACTCATGCTGTGCTAGAACTCAGAGATTACTTGTGACGGAGTCTCCTGTGCCGCCGTCCGTAGAATAAGTAAACTTTGAACAAATGAGGTGCTCGTGTGGCGCCATCTATTAGTAGTGAACAAAAGCATTTTAGTTGACTGGAGCTCTGGTTGCGCCATCTCTTGCAGGATGTATTGTAAGGCATTTTTAAAATTTCATAAAAATTATTCTTTTGATAAGCAATAATTGGCAAGTAAAATGATGAAAAACACAATTTGCAGTACACTGAAACGTTTCACAAGGGTAAAAACTATTTACACACAAAGTCTACCTGACCTAAGTAGAATCTGCTCTCGCCAATATATATCGTTTGGCGCTCGCTTGTTTTTGATGTTGCCCAATTTCATCATGCAAAACTGATACTAAGTTATTCTAATAAAAACCTTCAGTAATACTTGCTATATAAAAAAGAAAATTTTTAAATAAGTAGAATTTCGAAGCTATTACTGATGAATTATTTTAAATGGAAGTCTCAAAGCGGAAAATTTAAATTTTGAAAGACTGATTAGTGATTATAAAATCTCTCTCTATATAAATGAATGTTTGTTTGTTAAACAAGCGCGCGGAGTCCGCACGACTCCGTATACATATATTTTACGCTAACTTAACGAACTTTTGATGAAAAACTAAGCGATTTAATAGCTTTGCGTTGCCACTCGGCAAAGCGTAAGAATTATATGTTTCAAGTTTATTCAGAAAACTCGGCGATATAAAAAAAAAGCGTTGCCACTCGGGAAAACGCAATTATATTAATTTTTCTCGAATAGAGTAAACATACTGGGCGATTTAAGGGAAACGTCTTGCCACTGTTCTGCAGTTCCTTTGTACGTAGCCTTAAGCACCACAGTTCCAACACTTTAAAGTCGGTTTGTTGCCACTCCTGTTGCTTCATTAAATCGTCTAGACGAGCAGTCAGTTCAGCCACTGGCTCTTGGACTTGAGCAGCTCTGATTGGTTGGCAGTCTCTACGAATTGCTTGCTCGGCTGCCTCGAATTGAATAGCGTACTCTAGAGCGCTTTTTAAATCCTTGAAATAGGCCATTCGCAGAGCTTTCTGTATTTCAGGATTCCGGATGTCATCGATGAAGTACTGCAGGAACAGAATTTCCCTTGTTTCTGTACAGCATTTCGAAAAGGCGAGGTGAGACAGCCTTTGAACATCCGTGGCAAGTTTCTGGAGAGGTTCTGTTGACTGGATTTTGATTGAAGCCTGCTATAATCTTTGAAGCACTTCTCATCAAAGCGCAGCTCCAACGCGCCGGATACAGCTTCGAAGTCTAGTGTCTGGCTTTCTGGAAGAGTTTGATATCCGCAGCGTCTGCTCTCAGAGATGCGGCGAGATGACAGGCTTTAGCTTGAGAATCCCATCCATTCGCTTTCGTCACTATAGAAAATTGTTTCTTTTCCAGGAGGGTCTTGCCGTAATATATATCACCAGAGAGGAACGAGCAAGCATGGGTAAAAATTTAAACAGATTAGAATTGCTCCCTGCCGTTGCTACGAATTTCTTTAAAGCATGAACTTCTTTGGCGACCGCAGAAACTCTGTCATCAATTTGTTGTTCGATTTGTTACTGAACGACAAAAATCCTTTCTTCGATTTGTTGCTCTACGGCAAATACTCTTTCCTGAATTTCTTCAATTTTGTCTTCAGCATTGTCTAATCTGCCTTCCACAGCTTCGAATTTGTTTCCTGTTATGCACGTAATTTCTCTTTTCATTTCCGCTTGACCAGTTTCAATATTTTTTGAACAGCTTTCATCCCTTCTGCAACAGATTTTTGAATAACTTTCATTCTTTCTTTAACAGATTCCTGGCCGGCTTTCATATGTTCTTGCCTCGCTTTCATGTCTGCTTTGAGAGTTGACGGCGCCTTCCATCTTTTCTTGGAATGCAGCAAAGGCAGCCAACTCAGTCGCTCTCGCTTCAGTCCCACTTCTGACATCGAAAAGTGTTGCGTGAGTTCGGGTTCATAATAGATTGAATGCACACAGCTCCGATGATAGGCTGATAATATTTATTTTATTAAAGGAAACATTTCAGGGTTCTGGAAATTTTCCCAGAAATACTCTTACAGGTGTCACAGTATCACAGAATACGATCAGTAGTTCCACTTCAATGAACGTTAAACATAATGCTATGCAAAGCGCAGCTAAAGCAGATGCTACCCGGAGACTTCTCAGACCTCCGAATTCACGCTGAGCTAAGCAGATTCTTTAACCGGCCTTATATAGTTTTCACCCAGCCGCCGAGATATTTCTAGAGGCAATATGATGGTCGTATTATACAGCTAATATAATGATCAATTACATTTACTGAATTACAATAACTATTATGGTGATACAGGACCATACCCAAATGTCGCCAAATAGTCGCCAAGTTTGGCGACTTTTCGCGATTTTTCGTCAAATTCGGCTACAAAAATTAGTTTTCAAAACCGTTGCCAGCTTGGGGATATCTCGCCAAATTACCGAGATACCCATTTACTCAATCTTAAATGAATTTGCCCCTGTATTTTTACTTTTCTGGCGTAGCCTGACTCTCTTAGATTTTTCATGTTACAC